AAGCCTGACAAACATTTCTGGGTAGATTACTGCTAGCAAACTCACCCAGGCTGCCAGGATTTGGAAAAGTAATTACATTGCTTAGTCCACCTCTTGTTTTGCTCACACTGTCACAGTGACGGATGCTGCATTTCAAAGCATGCACAACGGGACCCAACTACGTACATGGGAGGGGAGGTTTGCACACCCTACTAGCTTGTCTTTTCTCTCCCACGCTTGGGTCTAGCACCTTGCAACATCAAAGCAAAAAGCAGCATGAGGAAGGCAAGTGACACGGGCTGGGGCTATACCCCCGTTTTTAGAACATGGGCCAAGAAACGGACAACTTATCCACTATCATATGGAAAAAGAGCCACTTGCCTCTTTGTCTATGGAGAACAGGCATTATCTCCTAGGTGACCAAGCAGAGAAAGCTATACAAACATTTGTTTTCCCCATGTCACAGATGAAAAAAGCAGATATGTATACTTAGCATTTTCAGTATTCAGAGCACTTCATGTGCATTATCTTATTGTAATCCTTACAACAATCCTATAAGTAGGTCAGTATTATCCGCCTGTTGAAGATGGGAAAAGGGGGGCTAAGAAGGAAGAGAAATCCTTTCCTGGTGTCACCCAGTGAATTCAGGTTGGAGACAAAATCCAAATCAAGAATGCCCTGAATGTCAGTCAATAAGTGTTTACAGGCTATTAATTTTGGAAGACTTTGAACTTCTTCACAAGACTCCAGAAAAACCTCTGACATTTATCAAATGGAGACACCCATGGCAGCTTCACATGGCTTGAGAGATGCACAGATGAGGGCATAAACATTCTAGGTCTGCAGGTCACTTTTATGTACTGCATCAAGAAGCTCTGGAAGGTCAGGATAGGATCCTCTTGGAACTGGAAAGACTAGGCTGGCAAAAGATCTAACAATTAATTGGTTTTATCCTGTCCTCTTTCTGTTTTTACTACTATTTTAGATGCAGTGTATTGTGTATCGTCGTTACGGTTTTGTTCTTGGTTTCCTTTCTTGTAAGCCGTCCAGAAACTTTTTTTTAGTAATGGACAGCATAGAAAAAGTTTACATAAATAAGATTTGCTTGTAGTTCTGGAGCTGTGTGGCTCATGATGCAATATACCAGCATTCCCCAAGCTGTCACCCTGTCTTGGACAATTCCCAATGACCCCGGCCCAGCAGAGGCTGCTTTATTTATTAATTTGACTTGCATGCTGCCCCATTCGCCATAACGGACTCAGCTTTGCATCAGCTGGAATTACCTCCCTTTGACATAGCAAAGACTCCAAGCAGACATGCATGACGAGACACACTGTGCCTAACCTGCTGAAGCGAAAGTATGGCTATTGGCAGCTCATGCCCCGGTACATCCACATCACTTGCTCCATTCCAGGGAGCTGGGCAGCACAGACCTGTAATCTCCCGGCTTCAAACCGCATGCACTGCAAAGCTGCGTGCCGGCTAGGAAAGTCTGCCACTGGTGGCTGGATGTGTCACACAGACACATTTAACTTAATTTAAATGTTCCAACGCTGTTTAAAAACAAAGCCACCCTGACGTACCTCTCCTCAAGGCTCTGCTGGTGTCTAGGTTTCAGTCCTGGAGCTACGGCACTGACAGAGAGAGGGACGGACAGGCAGACACGCATCCTCTCTTATTATTATAGATGACAACTGCCAGCCAGATGGAGAACCAGCAACAGGAGGAAGCTCAGCATCACAGACATCGGGCAGATCCAATTCTCCACTGCACTGAATGGCGCTTGCATGACAACTGCGTGTGACACAGGTTTGAGTAGAGGATATCAAAGCCCTTCCTCCTCCCAACCCTCCAAAATCTGTTTGAATGGGGAGATAAATCCTTCCTTTGATTGGTTCCAGATTTAGGAGAATAACAATCTCCTAAAGGACCACACTCTTGGTCCACCTAGCCCAGTATGTCAACACAGACTGGCAGCAGCTCTCCGGGGTTTCATGAACGAGTGTCCAGCCCTAACTGGGAATGATGGGGATCGAACTTGGGAGTATCTGCATACAAAGTACATTTGCAGCCACCAGCCTATGACCCCTCCTTCTAGCCAGGTATGTGGCTGGTGGAAGCAAACTTCCCCACCTCCCATATTAACTCTGGCAACTTCCAGCAGCATCAAGGATCTTGCTGAAAAGATGGAGGGGGGAAGCCCCCCAAACTGGTCAGAGGCACCTTCCTTGAGCAGTGTCCTGCCATTGACAGAGGACAAAGATTCTGAATCCAGCTTCTTATGCTAACAAACAGAAAACAGCTTTCAGACCATCAAGTTCTTTCTTGCACCTCCAATGTTTTAGAATGGGGACCTCTTTCAATGGTGGCTGCTCCTGGTTCCAATCTAAGAGTGCTGTGTGAGTCACAGGCCAGGACATGGCCTCTATTAGATGGGACAGGCTTGCAGAAATGGTGTCCCCTCTGTACCATGCACACATGCATGCAAGTCTATTTGGGTTTTTGCAGCTCAGAGGGAATTGTCAAGGACCTGAGAGGAAACTATAAAGAGCTGTACAATTCTGTTTCACTTGATGAGAGGGAAACTGTGTAAGCCTTTTTATCCCAGCACGTAACCCAAGTGGATCAAAAGATCTAAGACACACAGCTACATCCCTCAAGCTGAGTTCAAGTGACAGCTGATCACCCATGTAACATAATCAACAGAAGAAATGAATGGTCCAAGAGCAGATGCAAATGATATGGGCCCAGATACATTACACTTCATTAGATGCATGGGCCATGGCGTTCCAGATTTATTACATATGGTCGGGGGGGGGGGGCAAGGGAAAATTGTGAACCGTGACAATTGCTCTATGAACACTGGTCATTCACTGTTACTAATGCACTTTGCTGTTTGCAAACTCCCCCATCTGGCCCCACCATATATACTGTATACAAACCTTAAACTCCACATAATGTTCTGTGCATCTGATAAAGTGGGCTAGAATCTGAGAGCTTATGCCAGACTAAATTCGCTAGCCTTTAAGGTATTACAGGAATATTTCCTGCTTTAGTTACAACAGACCAGGACAACTACCCCAGGAAAACAGTTACAATTACAGCCCCAAGGAATCAAAAGTCCAAATGCTTTATGATGGGCTTTTACTCTGAATCAAAGATTACTGGGGTGGGTGACTGGGTGCTTCCCCTTGGTACAGGATGTTAGGAGGGCCAAAAAACAAAAACAAAACCCCACACAACAATTTAGCTTTGCAGGTATTTGTCAATTTGGAACAGAAAGCTGTGAATTAAATTTGGCTCAACCACCAGTTCACATCTGTGCCCTCTAACAAACTGCCAAATGGTTTCTGGAAACTCAAGCAGGACTGCATTACTCACATTTAAAATGGATTATATTGCCAATTATTTGGGTCTCATTCTAATGCTCTCCCAACATTCTTCAGCAGGCTGTGAGCCTCATGATCTTTTTTATTTTTCAATTACAACCATTCTGGAGCTTTAGGGACTTTAATTCCTAGAGCTTAACAATGGAGTTTTCTTTCCCTTCTTTTTTTTCTTTCAATCTCTTTAAATATGCCTGGATTAATCTCTTCGAAATGTTTAGAACTGTTTTTTAGAGAATCACCAAATAGTTAAACAAGGGTTTTCATGCACAGTGGAGGCTAGCAGCTTTGTTGCCAGCAATAAAGTACCAGAATTCTTCCTTCAAACATTCTCCAAGTTAGTTCGGAACTGCACGCCCAACCTAGTGCCTTCCAGAAGGCTTGGACTACACTTTCCAGAATCCCCAGCCAGCATGGCCATTGATTCAATGATCTGATTCAGTGAATCACATCCAGTGGGTTCTATCCAATGTTAGAGTAACTTAAGTTCCATTTATTTCAAAGGCTCCACTCAAAGTGGGTCTAACTTTGGCTCCAATCCCACATAAGAAAGCTCAAAGCAGTGTGGGAAACCGTACGCTGTTCCCAGGTGCTCCCTGCCTTCTTAGGGCACAAGGCAGGAGGCATCAATCAGCACAGGAACAATGTTCTTCTTATATACAACTCATAAACAAGGCAGGACTGACCATGAAGGCCAACCGTGCAACTGCACAGGGTGTCAAACTTCCAGGAGCACTGGCCGTATCCCTATAAAAGCCTTTCAGAGCAAGTCCTGCCTGTGCTTTTGAATACATCCACTTTTCCCCACGCATACTTGTAAGCAAAATGCAGGTTTGGAATCCACCTTATTGATGACGCCCAGAAATTTGCAACTAGCACTTATTCCGGGCTCAGTAACACAGAGCACAATGGGGTGTTAGTTGAATTACTGAAATTAAAAACGGAAGTGAGAAAATAGGCTTTCATTAAATTCTGGATCATTTAATGTGCTATTGTTAGGCTACTCAGCATCCAATAAAATTGGGGCGGGAAAGAATATCTCAATTTGCCCAAGGCTGCAAAAATGCTTAAGCTCACACTGGTCTTAAAGGTATCACAGCCACATTGTTAGATTCCAGAAACTCTCAATGCTGCATGCTGATGTTCAGGGGGTCCAATCAACCCCTGGATGTCAAGCTGTGTGGGCCCAAGCCTCTGCAGGCCAGGAGGGCAACATCCATAGGCCAGATTAGGTCTGAAGGCCAGAGGAGGTATGCCCATACTTTAAGAAAATCCTCCCTCATTCTCCCCTTCTTGTCACAGATGCCTGCCATTATCACCAGTATGTTTAGGTTTGGCACCAGAGGTTGGAAGAGCCAGGCAGCTGCCAAGACCCCTCATGCCTCCTGATGGCCCACTGGTGCCCATTCCTGACCAGAAGCAGCTTCTACCACCAGTACTGTAGCAAAACAGGTGCTCTTGGGAGGTCTGAGGGCCGTCTACTTTTGCAGCACTCCCAAGCATGTGGGGGCAGGTGAGTAAGCACAGGCATCCCAGGCCGCCATCAGGGCTGCTTGGTGGAGAAAAGGAGTCCACAAGAAACACAGCATAGTAGAACTGGAAGGGGTCAATGAGACTATCAGATCCAACCCTCACCTCAATGCAGCTTTCCAACTTCAAGTATCCTCAACAGGTGTTGTCCAGCTGCATCCTGAAGGCCTCCAGTGTAGGAAAGCACAGAACCTCCCTAGGTCACTGGTTCCATTGCTGTGCTGCTGTAACAGCCAGGAAGTACTCCTGATGTTCAGGGCCACGGGCTGCCAAAAGAGGAACTGGCCCAGCCGAGCACAAGAGAATTCTGAATTCTGCAGTCTCCCCCAGAGTGTCACCCTCCAGATGGTCTGAACTACAACTTCCTTTATCAATGACTAGTTGTAATGCTGGCTGGGGCTGATGGGAAACTCCAAAACATCTGGTAGGTTCCATGTTGGGGAAGTCTGGAATACAAATTCTCCAAATGAAAAAAAGGTACAAAACGGCATAATAAAAAGAACTTTTTGTTACATGGGAATGCACAAGCCTCCTTGGGTTCCTCCTTTTTCTCAAGCTACCCTCGACATCAATCGTTTCTTCATTAGTCAATATGCATACTAGTTAGAGGGCCGTGGAAACCCAGTCTCAACTCCCCATTTAGCCCCAAAAGCCAAGAAGTGAGTGTGGACCAGTCACTCTCTCTCAACCTAACCTACCTCGTAAAATTATTGCAAGGATTAAGCAGTGGTGGGGAAACGACACCATATGGTGCTTTGTGTTCCTTGGAGGAAAAGTAGAATATAAATGCAAATAATAATTTGTCCCTAGCATAACAACTAGCAAATGCAATCAAGGTATCCAAGCCACAGAAGCAGCAACCCGTTTCAGCATTAGGCAAAGGACAGAATTATTACCCCACCTTTTTTTTCTTCTGCTTGCAGGGAACCCAAAGTGCACCACTCCATTTATCCTCACAACAAACACCTTGTGAGGTGCATTAGGCTGAAAGTGACAGGTCAAACTTCACCCAGTGAGCATGTTCATGGCCAAGTGGGGGCCAGAACCCAGATCCCCCAATCCAGAACTCTCCACATCACACCACAGTGGCTCTAAATGTCTCTAAATAAGATAAAACCTTATTTATTTTCCAGACAGCCGTTAACCTAAATCTCTTGTGTTACCAGTGTCTTTACCCCATACACACATCCACAAGCCTCGTGTTCAACCAAGCTCTCAGAAACACCCTGCTTCTTTCTCTCCTGCTTGCCCAAAATCTCCCGTTGCCCTCTCACTTAGACTTACGTCCCACTAACTACACATCGTCGGTCTGACTCCCGAGTATAACAAGCAACGGGGCGGCGCCTGCATTAACCAAGCGTCTCCGCAGGAATTCCCGCTGCCAAAACATGAACCGACCACTAAAGTGTCCCAAATGCGCAACGGGGAGGGAAATAGTGCGGATCAGCACACTAGCCGTGGCTAGGGTGGAGGGGGTATAGGAAGACATTTAAAATCCAGATCGGGCCCCCTCTGCTACTCCACGGGTGCGGAGGGGGGGTTATAAATGCTACATAAGTTTAATCTCTGATTTAACCCTAGTTGGGGGCCAGCAAGTAGTTTGTCAAGCGCAGAGCAGGCCGCGGGATCGCCCTCGGAAGCCCCGCCGAAGTCCACAGGAAGTCCTGCAGCCGCGCAGCCAAGGCGCGTCTCCCTTCTGCTTCCCAAAGCGCGCGCGGAGCACCCGGGAGGCGACGCAGGGGACGGGCATCGAGGGCCTCGCCAGCCCCGTTCCCGAAGACCAGGCTGGAACCCCTCCCTCCGCCCGCCGCGCCCTTCCCCCGGCTCCACCCCCCAAGTCGTGGCCCTGATCCTCCCGGACGGAGCCGCGCCGCCTCTTTCCCTTCGCGCGCCTCTTGGCTCGACGCGCGCACGCCTCCTCCGCCCGCTTCGGAAGTTCCAAGTGCACGTCTCACCTTTCGAGGCCGCCCCGCTCCTCCTTTTCCCACGCCCTTCTCTGCCACCCCATCGTGGCCCCCAACTTTCATGCATTCCCTTCTCGGACCCCTAATCCCTCCCCAACGCACACGAACGGCGGCCACCCTTTGCCCCCGCGCTCCTTTCTCAGCAAACTACCCGCGAACTTCGCGCGTCTTTTTTCGGAGCAAGCGTGGGCCGAATTGCACCCTGCGCTCCGTTAGGTCGACGCCCCCCACCCCAGGACCTCGAAGGCGACCCCGCTTAAGAGGCGATGCAACTTCTCTTCCTTTCGGGCCGCGATCCCGGACGCACTTTTCTTGAACTCGCCCGGACCTCCTCCCGAGTCAGCGCGGCGGCGCTCAGGCGGCAAGGCTGCCCGCACAACTGCTGCGCGTTTCCCAGTCGTCCCCCCCCCCCCGCTGGACTCGGTGCGGCTTCCTCGCGAGTAAGCCAGCGAGCCCACACGCTGCAAAGGGACCCTGCCACAGCTGCCTCTCCCGATCAACAGCTGGGAAACGCGTTCGGGCAACAGCCGCTATCTCGCTATTTCACTCCGGATTTTGTGCAGCGGTTGCACGGAGAGATCCGCCTGCGCGGCGCACTTTCCTCCCCGCGACTTCCCTGCCCCCGAGCCCCGCACTGACTCACCGGTGCACACGTGCTGGCGCCCTCCGGCCGCTTCCCGGCTCGGCTCAGCCCGGTGGACGTGGCAGAAGCGGCGGCAGCGGCAACTGCAGCTCCTCCCCAGCCGAGCGCAGCCTGCAACGCGAGAAGCTCCTCCCGGCTCGGCTGTAGCCGCGAGCGGGACGCCCTCTGCCGAGCGAGGGCCGCCTGGACCCGCTGCCAGCCGAGGCCCCGCTTCCTTCCCCGGCCGGGCTGCCTGGACGAATCGCCTAATTCCCCTCTCGAGGCCTTGACTTCCCGTTGCATTGCCAGCTGTAGGATTTTTGTTTGGGTCCCTCTTTTTTCTGAAATCCTAAAACGCGCTAGAGAGTGAGTTGCCGAGATTTACTTACGAGTAAACATCCGTAGAATGTGTGCTGTTTATTTGCACCTATGTTTCCCCTTTTTAAACAAAATAAATAAACTTCCATAGTGTTAAGAGGTGAGCATGGAGATTTCGTTTTTAAAAACCCTCTCCACCCTGCCTTTCCCACCCCTTGCCCCTTTAAGGCAGAGGTGGGCAGAAAGTAGATCTCCAGATGTTTCGGGGCTTCGGCTCATCCATCCCTAAGTCTTGTCCGTGTTGGCAGGGGAGTTGAGATCCACATTGAGTCAGACCAAGGGTAGATAAATTGATTTTAATATTGCTTTTATATGAACTGTTTTATGCCATGTATCAATTTTTATTCCCTAGGAGTTGTCCAGCTGTTGTATTGGGTTTTATTTTCTTGCTTTGTACTGTTTTTATTTTTGTTATGTTTTTAACTCTGTGAACTACCCAGAGAGTCCCATGGGCTATGGGGTGGTATACAGATACAATAAAGAAATTCCACGCAGCCTCTTGTTCAGAGCTGCCCCCAGGTTCCTCCGATCAGGACCAGAACGCAATAGCCAGGTATCCCAGCGACAGGTGCACAGAGGCACCTGGCCTCTGATAGGCTGAATTTGTACAAGCCTTTTTCAAAGCCATCCAGATTGGTGACCTAGAAGCTCTTCTTTTGTTCTGCACTGTATCTCCCTCCAATCAGCTTCATGGGATGCTCCCCTTGGATTCTAGTGGGGGGTGGGCAGAAAAATGTCCAAAGCACCTGGGCAAAATATACCTTCTTCCCACTCATTTAAAAACCATGTTTAAACTACACTCATCCAGGATACGTCATTCCATTCCATTCCCCTCTGATCTGGTTTTTTACCACCCCGCAACAGTCATTCAGCATTCCATGGGTACATAATGCACTCAGTCCCTATCAAATAGAAGGGAAAGGGTGTCTCCCCTAGGATTTTGTCCTTCTGGGTTTTTTTTCAACTTTTTTAAACTTGTGGGGTCCTCTACACCTGCTGATACCCCCCTTTTGTACATGGGTGATGACATTTGGGTTACATAAGCGATGACACCCAAACCTGAACATCAGAAATAAAAAGGATCATTTCAAAACCAGATTGAAAGCAGAACAAACATCAGAATAAAAACAAATAAGTGCAGAGAGGCAGTGTTACATGATTGCAGGCCACTAAAAATGCTTTTATTTCTGTCCAATTATTTTTGTCTTTGTCTTACCCAAGTGGTTTGCACATACAAATAGAAAATTTGGTAGCAATAGAACATACTAAAAATATAGCAACCAAAACGTAGCTGCATGAGACAACTTATCTGATGGAACAGCCGAGCATGGCTTTAAAATGCCTGCTCAAATGAAACCAAATTTCAGCATCTAGCCAAGGCTAGGGGGGAAAAAGCTTGCCAGGACTCCTGGGGGACAGTATTCTAGAACTGTGGTGCTTTCACTGAGAAGATTCAATCTTTCCTACCCAGAAGCTGGTTAGCCGCTAAAGATTGGACAAAGAGCATGGCCTCTCCAAGGCCCATCTTAAGGCAAGTTCAACTGGGTGAAAGTCTGACCTGTTGCAAATTATATTCAGTGGTGCAAAGAACACAGAGCCAGAAATTTTATATAGCCTTCCTATTAGTGCTATTCAGCTAAGAATTCCCTGTTGTAAGACTTTCAGTGAAGTTCAGACAAAACAGCTGCATTGGTAGGATCATTATTACACTTACACCCACCTTTCTTCTTGCAAGGAACCCAAGGTAGCTTATGAAGTTCTCTCCATTTTATCCTCCCAACAACATCCCTGCGAGATAGGCCAAGTGGAGGCCAGAGGCCAGATCTTCTGAGTCCCAGTGCAATAGTCACCACCACTGCCCCACACAGGGTCTTTCAACTTTCCGCATGCATATCCATGCAGTAATGCAAAGTATACTGCAGTGGTTTGGCCTTCGATGTGCTATGAAGACCCATTAGCTTGACAAGAGAACTGCTGATGGAGATAGAACTGCTCAAACTGGTTTGTTGATGAACACAACTGTCTGCATGTTTTGCCCTCTTTGGGAGCAGAGCTATGCACAGTCACAGTGAGCACCAGCACCAGAATTTACCTCCAGACTATGATGGGGAATCCGCACATTTAACCAAACTCTTAACAGAGTCAGCTGCCCAGTCAACCTCTGTTCCACTTGCTGCTCCCAGATCTTTTCTGTCTCTTTGTGGATGCTTTGCTTCAGTCATCCTTCATTTAGCCAAACAGTCCTTTATTTGATTAAAACATCCCTTAATAGAAGACACTGAAGTCAACGGGAACCTAGCAGATAAGACTTTCCTGTAGTCAAGCCCCAAACCACACAATTTCACCTGGAAGCACTGCTTCCGGTCTGAGATGTATTCAGATAGGATTGAGCAGTGGCTGATGAGGAAACCAGCAGCCCAGGGCACGGGTGGCCAGGTAACAGATAACAAGCCAAGAGCCCAGCAACAGGGCGAGGTGGCACAAGGCCAGAGTCCAATCCCCAGTCCAAATCTCAAGTCCAAGCTGCAATACCAAATGGCCCAGGGTCAAAACCAGCATCAGTTGGAGAGCCAGATGAAGTACAGTCCAGCAGACAAGAGCATGGTCAAAACACACCAGAGACAGCATGATAAGGGGTGGGTGCCAAGATCCACATGCAGCAAAGGGCTTGTGGAGGGAAGAGCCAGTTCTTCAACAGCTTTTTCCCCAGGGCTCCCAGGTGGTGCTCATGAGGGTCCTGGCAACTGCCATAGAGTCCGGGACTAATCCTGCAACTACCAGAGCTGTTATTCTGGTGCTTGGCCATCAGGAGGAGCCCCAAAGCTGTCCAGAACCTGACAGGTTACTTGGAAACATGCTTCAGCACTGACTTACAGTGATTGGTAAAACCAATAGGAGAAAATGTTGCAGTAGAGTTCTCTGCAGGACTCTCAATAGTCCGTTCCATTTTCTGGTCCCCTGCAGAACAAACAATCAACATTTCATGGTCACTAAGCATGCTTAATCCTCAGGGTATACTTGGTGTTCCCCTAAAAGGAACTTCCCCCCTACCTTTTCCCATTTGTACTTCTGCACCCTTGGAATTTCCTCAGTCCTACTGACTTCTCTATGCAAGGCTGGTGCTGTTTTGGCTACATAAACAAGGGCATTCGATGGCTGAACATCAGAAAAAGAACTTCTTCCTTTCCCCCATGAAGGAAATGCCACTGCAACACTGTAGCATCTTATAAGAACCTATCAGTAGCTGGATCTTCAAGCAAAACTGGGTATGTGGTACAAGAAAGATGTAAAATTTAATTCAGCTGCATATGCAAAAGGGCCTAAGCTGATCTCTGGCTTCTGCAGCAGGGCTGGGGGAAAATCTGACCTGAAACCCAAGAGAGCTGCTGCCAATCCAAGTTGGCAATACTAGGCTAAATGGACCCATGGTCTGACTCAATATACAGCAGCTTCCTGTGCCTTTGAGTTCCTCGGGGCTCTTGGGTTCTGCTTGTAGGTTGCATCACAAGGCCTGACTCTTCTGGATCCAGTCCTATATGCCATAATATGTGAAGCCATTGGAAAACTGGTCTGCAGCAAAATCACATAATAGAGTCCTTGTTGAACTGTACCACTTCTGGCTACATTGCTTTGACACCAGCACCACCAGCAGCAGCAGCAAAAGCAAACATTCTGTGCACGAGGAAATATATTGTACATTAGGGATGAGCTAAGCTTGACACATCCTGCATTATTTGCCTGATTTGGAGATACAAGAAGTTTTGTTTTGCTTTTATTTGGAGAACATTTTAAAAGCACCGTTTTCCACTTGGGCAGTTTGAAATCGCTCATTCTGAGGAGGCCTGTGCTGTGCCATTTCTGATGAATATGGAGTTCAGTTCCGCTCAGCATTAAAACTGGCTTTGGGCCTTATTGAAGAAGTGCCTCTTTGGCAGCAGTTCTTTAACTACAGCCGAAGCTGCTCAGCAAGAAGGGAAGTTCTCTCATTTTCACCTGTTATGGTGACCTGTTATCCTTAATACTGCACATTCAACATTCAGGTGACGATCGCATAGATTTTATGTCAACAAGTCTGCTTGACACCAAAGCAATCTCAATTATGAAACATAAGCAAATCCATGTCTGGCCCTTAACCAAACACCCCTACAGGGTCAAATAAGATTTTCCAGTCTAGCCACATTAAATATATGATTAAAGCCTTAATTCTCCTGGTCTCCTCGGAATACCAGCTAAAATGTTTGTGTTCTGCCAGGAGCTTGGTGAGTAAAGACAGCTCATTTTGCTTTGGTCTGAGTGCAAAAAAGGAGAAATGGAGAAGAAGATGGGGAAGGATCTCTACTGCAGCCCCTTCTGTGCTGGAACTGTTTTCAAACACAATTGCTGTTCTGTGGGCACATGCCTATCCTGTGCCCCATCCACCATGTACCACACAGATCAAGTGTCACACATTGATGCTTACCGACACAATCGCAGAGAAGGTCACTTCAGCATTATCATTTGTGATTAAAACACATGTTACAGGCCACAAAAGAGTGCTGCGATTACCAACAAACAACCCATGAAGAGATCCCATGAATTCTTGTTTGGTCGTGTACTGTGATTCGCTCACCACGATTTGTTATTTCAGGTGGGATCAGACCTGGACATCTCAGGACTAGGGTCCCAAAGGCTTAGCCTTCCTTCTACACACACCAGCTGCTTTGCCCGAGGACTT